TGCCAGATCTGGTTTAGATACTTTTAACTCTATACAAACATCTGTATTGGGAGAGAAACATGTAAGTTCTCTAAGGCTCACTTTTTCATTAGAAAAAGGAAGTCATATCTTGGGCTGGGGTTCCCTAAGAAATGACACAGAGGCAGAAATGTGCATGTAGGAGCTAATGGAGAACTTTAAATGGCCTTGGCAGGGGAACCTGTGCTATACATGCTTCACACCCTGTCACCACACCTACCCAGGGCCTAGTTAGTACATTTCTGTTTGTATGCAGGATAGTTGTACCATATTAGGTGTAATTATAAACTTGCTGTTGAATTCAGAGATTAAGAATGGCTTAAGGAGATGTGTCTGGCTGTGAAGTTGACAAGGGGTGGATTGTGATAGTTAATTGTGATTTTTCTGCTTGACTCGAGTGAGAACTGCCTAGCAGATTAGTAAAGCTCTAGGTGTGTCTGTGGATAATTGACATGAAGACTGCAAACTGAGGAGGGGAGATCCACTCTGGAAGTGGGTAGCACCCAACAAATAGGGTTGTAGCCTGGACAAATAAAAAGAGGGAAAGGAGAAGGAAGTCTTCCTTTTTTCTTCTTCTGAGGAGTTCCAGTCTTAGCCATTGCCTTTGGATGTTTGTCTTGGTTTCTTCAGGCTTTCAGGGAAGACTCTTCAGCCTTCCAATACAGACTTTTCATTGTTTTCTGAGAGAGACATACATCAGACTCTGCAGTGAGCTCCAGGCCTTTGACCTTGGACTGGATCCTCCAGTTCTCCAGTGCACAGACAGCAATTTTACATCTTTATACTCCTGATTCTGCAGGCAGCCATTGTAAGCCACTTAGTAAATCCTTTATATAATGATATATCTTTTAATATTAAGTATGTTCCTATAGTAAACCCTAACTTATACAGATTTTGATACTACTGTCACATATAATAAACGTGACCTTTTAGTCAAGTGGTAAATGCCAACAAGAATATGACATCAGCTCTGTGGACCCTTGAGCACCTAGTAAGAGCTGCCCTTGAGTACTCTAAAAAGTTTCAGTTTGTCCTCTAAACAACAAAGCTGAAACAAAGACAATAGCAGGAATGGAGAATGACTTCAAGGACTCTTAATGACCTTCTAAAAGGGCACTTTTGCTTACAGAATGGAGGGTATATAGCTCTTATGAGATGAAGAGAAAACCAACTTCTCAAAACACAGACCAAGAGCCAGAAAAATACAAAGGGGCTGACTTTAGTTGGGCACTCCCTGATGGAAAACAAATACATACTTCACTGCAACCACCCAGGATTACATACAAGGAGAGAGGGATCTGGCTGCCATCCCAGGTTCTAGCTCTTTTCCTTGCTCCTCTTATTTGTTAGAATATCCCTGCTATCTTTGGATTTCATGTGCTAAAGGCTTGGTCACCAGCTTGTGGCACTATTAGGAGGTGGTGGAACCTTCAGGAAGTGGACCTCATGAAAGAAAGTTAGATATTTGGGGTTATATTCTTGAAGAAAATATTGGGACCCCAGCCTCTTCCTGTCTCTTTGCTTCTTGGCTTCCGTGAGGTGAACAGACCTCTTTACCATATACCCCTGCCATGATGTTCTGTGCCACCACAGGCCCAAAGCAACAAGGCCAAGAAGCAATGGCCTGAAACTCCTAAACCCATGAGCCAAAATAATCTTCTCTTCTTATAAATTGATTATCTCGGGTATTTTGTCACACCAATGGATAGCTGACTCATACAATCCCTTTCCTCATCCATCACCTACCACCCGACATCCCTGCTGGCTCACGAGCACTTAATGTGGGCTAAAGTGGGCAGGAATCTGAGAACACAAGGCCTCGGTGGCTGGAAAACACCAAGGGTAGTTTTTAACTGCTGTGTTCATTCAGTTTAGATTTGTGACATGATTCTATTCCTTGAGGAAATGTGTTTTCATGCCTCTTTTATTCCCTGTTGCTTCCCCAGGGCTCTAGACCTTAATAGATAGAAAGTGTCTACCTTTAGGATTTCCTTGAGCAGTCCACCCTGGAGGGTGGCACTGCCTCTACATCCACTCTATCGGTGTCAGAGAAGACAGTGTTTCTGACTGAGCACTAGGTGAGGTTGCCTTGAGTATGGGTCCTATGCAGTGTAAGTGTTGTTAGGTTCCAGAAACTCCTACATCCCACCTGAGGCAGAAGGATGCTTATTCTATGGACTGTGTTCAGGAATTGAGGCCAGTCAGGGGGTGATAGAGTCACACAGAGCACAGGCCTTGCTCATTCACTGCTTGAAATAGGAGAAGAAATTGCCTTCTTGCTTAAATTATTTTCTCTCAAGTCCATATGGTTACTTTTTTCTAGATTAAAGACACAAATGATTCACCTCTACTGCACTAAACCACCCAAATATCTGGCTTTAATTATGGTACCTCTTTAATTCTGCTACCTCTTCTGAACCATCTTTTAGTGTCTGAGGCAGTAAGTCCCGTTCTGATTTGATCTCCATTGCTCACTTAGCTGCCAGCTCCCCAACTAATTCAATCACTACCCTCAATTTCTTCCAGAAAGACTGTGATTTTTCCTTCTACTCTCTCCTAAACATATGAAGCATTTTAATTTCAGATGTGTCCCAAAACAATGCACATGTAAGACCTTCTCTGTCTCATTTGTTTCCCTGCTTTTATACAAACACAGTTCTTCTCTACCCACCCAAAGAACTCTATCCCAATCAGAGAAGTCCACGTTTATCTCTGCACATGCCTAAGCAAATTCTCTGTTGAAGAATACTTCATCCCCAGTCCATGAAGTTTTAATTTTTATAAATATCTTTAACAAAAGATATTGGAGGGATCTTTCTAGAAAGGTGGGTGGCAAGGGCTAAAGAAAAGAAAGACAACAGAGACTTGTGTAATTTCATAGTACATGGGGGGCTGGGAGGTCAGTGCCTCAGAGTAGGCAAAGGCAAAGACACTCCAAGCTAGCCACTATTTATTGGGTACACACATTAATTGGAGGGAGTATCGGGTAACTCAGGGGGTGGCAGCAATCCTATGTTGATGAGGACCTTAGGTTGATGAGGATCTGAAGTTGATGAAGATAGTGAGATGAACAAAGCCTTTTTACAATATGGGAGAAGATAGCAAGCTAATAAGGAATCTGTCCTTCCTCCAAGTGAAATCTTTCTTGTTTTTTATTATTACTACTTGCTTCTCAAAGAACCAAGATGTCTTCAGCTGATGTAATTTTGTGATGCCCTTGAGCATCACAGCATCACTAGACCATTAAGGTCTTAACTTGTGACCAGAAGCAAAATAGAGTTATGTTTCTGCATCCCATAGCTGGCTTGCAGGCAAGGAGACATTGGGCCTTAGATAATCCTAATCATAATTTAATTATGAAATGATTTTTCTCCAAAATCATATAGAATGGATCTCAATAACAAAGAGCTCAACATATAAAATAAATAAATAAATAAACCGTACTCTGTCTTGGGTCCCTACATTTCTGAAAGTTAACACAATTAGATACAATTAGCATATGTATAACTTCTCTATAAATGAAATCTCATTATCCTCATCTTTTGGACCTCTGGCTCACAGAACAAAACAAATTTGCCTTGGTTCAGAGTTAGTGAGTGCTTAAACCAGGATTCAACCCCAGATTCTGTCTGGTTCCCAAACTTGGCATTACATTTTAGATATGGTTTATGGCCCCAAGGTTCATATGGTGGGGGCCTGAGCCCAGTGTGGCAGTTTGAGTTGGTGGAATCTTTAAGACGTAGGACTTAGTGGAAGGTAGTTAAGCAGGGGTGCCATCTTCAGAATAGATTAATGCAGGTTCCCTGGGACTGAGTTGATTCCCACAAGAATAGGCTATGATAAGCAAGCCTAGCACCTTCTGTGAGCATGCCCTGCATTCACTACTCAACACTCTTGCATACATAGCTGCCTTGTGCTTACTGTACCCTGTGAAGCCCTCACCAGAGGCAAGCAGATGCTGGCACCATGCTCTTGGACTGCCAGAACTGTGAGCTAAATAAACTTTTCTTCATAAAGTACTCAGACTCAGGTAATTTGTTATAACAACACAAAACAGACTTACGCACTTGCACTCTTTTTGCCATATCTTATTACTTGAAAGATTTTAGGGTAAGTCTCTTAGTAGCTCTGAAATTTAGCTTCCTCAATGCCTTATTGAAAGGAGATTGGGTTAAGTTACCTTAAAATGGTTTCCATGTTAATTCTAAGAGAAGAAAAGGGGATGGGAGGAAGGGGAGTGGGATTAGAAAGGAGGTAAAGGTATTATGAGCTTTCTATCTTACTATTTGTGACTCTACTGATGTGGATTTACTGTGATTATTTGCAAGATAACCAGATCCCCCTTTAGAAATATTCTTCATCATGTTCTGCAGACATACAAGAATTTCTCTTTGTGTTTAAGAGAAATGTAAGCATCTGTGGTGTGAGTAAGCCTGTTTAACAAGGTATATACTGCAGAACAATTTATGTAACTTTCAATTCTCATTTTCAAATACAAAATGGCACAACTTCATTATTCTGTACATTAAGTTTGAAAACACTATGGATTCAAACCTATTAGATAGAGGAAGTGGAAAACTTACCACCAAAAATGCAACAAGCAAAAAATAGAAAATAACTCTTTAGAAAGACTCCAGTGACCTTAATTTGGCTATTTCCTAACAATCACAGCAGATTAGCCAGCCTTATGAGTGATTATAAGGCTTGGAGATTTTCTAAGTAAAAGGCTCAGGGAAAAGATCAGAGTCAGAATTACAAATAGGCTTTACAAAAGGCAGCTGCCCAGATCAAACAATAATTTTTCACTTGTTTACAAAGTGTGAGAAGAAATATTGTCCTCTAGTTGGTCTTTCTACCAGCCATGCAAACATAAATACATACACACGCCCACCACACATCACTGTTGGCATCACTAGTATAATTCCTAAAAACTGAAAAGGCTAGAAATGAAGTTAATCTCGGAGAAAGAGCAACCAATAGAATTCACTTTAAATGCAAAGGAGCAACAAAATTTATTGGCTGGATTAAACACAACAGTTAAAATGGCAGCATTGTATATTCATGTTAAGATGGTCAAATGAAACAAGAAAAGTGCTATTAGCCCAAGCTTCTTACATTCAATAAAAGAGTGGCTATCAAAAACAGTAACATGCACAATGATACATATGCACAAAATGGAATTATATCAACAAATATACAAAATACCCAAAATAAAATATTTACAGTTTAAAAATATAAACATTGATTCATCTATCCCATTAAACCATTGGAGTGGAGAAAGGAGAAAAGATCCTATTGCTATTTAGAATCCTTTTGGAAACAAGTTTTGAAAACATAGAATTAATTCTAGGAGACAATTTTTGATGTTTTTCAGGGGTTTAACATTCTATTACAAAAATAATATCTATAAACCTACTAACAATTTTCCTCCTGTGCACAAAAATAATAAGCCAAAAGCTTGTCCTCAATGACATGCCTGACTTTCAGGAAAACTAATTATAGAAATGGAATTTTTCATTTGGGTTGTCTTTGTTGCTATTTTCAAATAACCTGCAATCCCTTATATTACACAGAGATACTTCATATAAATAACTTGGGCAAAACCTGAAGTTCACAATGAGCCTGACGGGTAGCTGGTGACAAGTGAAACGGACAGGAATTTACTTTGCCTATAATTCCAAGACCATCCCTGATATTCTTGATAAATCTACCACTATTAGATCCTTTATGTTCAGTTACATTTATCTTGGAAGCAATGAAGTGTTAGATAGTTGTTTGTTAGAGTTTCTCCTTCTTTGTTTAGAAATAAATGTGTTGTGGAGGAATATATGGTTATCACGAAGATATTTGAGAAGTTTTGCTAATTCCTTCAGGCTACCTGAGACCATTTCAATGACATGTTAACAAATATTTGTTGTGTATCTAATCTATGTCCCTATGCCATTGGACCAGCTATTTTTACTATTTTTTCTTTAGTTTATTAAGTGATCCAGGTCTGAAAGTGCCTGAGAAAGTTTAATGGATCTCAAATGATAGGAACCAATGCTACATGTTATTAGAAATGTAACTTCTCACATAGAACAGAAAGTTGCTCTATTTAATTATTGAATGGTTTCTGAAAATCACCCCAGTTTACAATTCAATAAAATAAACACTGCTATTGAATTACTCTGCTGATTCTCATTAAAATTAGATCTAAAATTCAGAAAAAAATTTGACCAAGTGTAGGTAGCCTATATGTCAACAAAATAATCTCATTAGTTGTGACAGCAATGCAAATTCAAAATGATTTTCTTTAAATACTGAGGCATCTTAATAGAGTCAGAAAAGCACAAGTTGCAATCTATTGAATCCACCATCAAAATTACATTACTGGTTATATTACTGACAAAACAGTTATTAGATTGTGAAATCTCTATACAGACCAGGTAGTGTGTAGGTCTAAAATAATTTATGAATGAGGCTCAAAATTTTGACAGGCCTAAGTGAGAAAAAAAATCCTGCTAGACTCCAAGATCTACCTTTAGACTTGTAAGTAAGTTAGATTATTTAAAGGTCATAAAGTACTTCTTTTTTTAAAAAAAAAGTTCACTTTTAACTAAAGTTATCATAATTTTCATAGTGTCCAACAACATAAAAATCTAGTTTGACTCTTGCTGTCCAGAACTTTGATCAGTTTCTTACTTAAAACAAGTAATTCAAAAATTAAACTTTATGGCTAAAGCAGATTTATCATCACAGCAGTACAGCATGAGCTATACAGTGAGATTTCTGGTTTCTGCCCAGTTACTTACTAAATTGATAGCTTTGGCCGAGATAATGTTTAACCTTCCTAAGTATCATTTTCTTCCTCTGAAGATGGAGCCAATAGATAGCTCACATGGTTCTTATGAACAATAAAGATAACAGTATAAAATAAAGCACAAAACATCATCCCTGCTACTGCAGTAAACACAGAGCTTATTCTAATTATTAGAATCAAATATAAAATACTCACATTCATGGTGGCTGATCAAGAATGTGTTCAGTAATTGTTAGTTGAATTAATGACTGAATCAGAAAACAAAGGCCAGGATTCAATAGCCATAGATGGAATATAGTATGCACCACTTCTCAAAGAAAGAAGTGCTTATTTTTAGAGTTCAGAATTATCTTAAGGCAAAGGAAAATCCAACTGGCTGCCATATAAGCAAACAACACAGGTAACAGATGTTGGTGAAGGTGTGGAGAAATTGGAGCCCTTGTATACTGTTGGTGGGAATGTAAAATGGTGTAGCTGCTGTAGAAATCAGGACTCAGCATCCTAAATATATTAAAAATAAAACTGTCCAGTGGTCCCACTTCTGGTCATTTATCCAATGGAATTGAAGTCAAGAACTTGAAGAGATATTTCCCCTCCCTTGTTCACTGTATCATTATTCACAATAGCCAACATACAGAGACAATCTATATGTCTGCCCACAGAGTGATGGATTGAAGAAATGTGGCCTACAATGGAATACTACTCAGTCTTTAAAAAGAAGTCAGTCCTGCAGTATACAACCACATGGATGAGCCTGGAGGACATTAAGTTCAGTGGAATGAGCCAGCCACACAAGGACAAATACTGCATGGTTCATTGAGGCATAGAGAGGTGGTTTTCAGGGGCTGAGGGAGGGGGAATGGGGAGTTGCTGATGAATGGGGGTAAAGTTTTAATTATGCCAAGATGAATAAATTCTAGACATCTGCAGTACAACAGTGCATCTGCAGCTAACAACACTGTTGTACACTTAAAAACCCATCAAGAGTGTAGATTTCATACTAAATAGTCTTACTATTATTTAAAAAACAAAAACAAATGAATCAACAACAGGCATGGAACACCCAAGGATAAGCATAGACTGGGCTTAAGGTCGGAAAACAAGTTAAGTGAGCTTGGAATGACTGAAGTCCTGTCAGGGAAGATGTATCACCATGACAACAGAAGAGATTTCTGTCGGTACTTTCCATGTTAATCCCCCAAAAGAGGACTATAGAAGGAGGAGCTCTTCCCAAAAGAAGTTGGTCAACTGTCAGTCTACTGACTCTAGAAGGGCAGCAGTTTCCCTGTGAGTGTCTGTGAGCACCATCCTCTTATGCATCAAACTAATTTCAGCTACATGGACATGGGTTAGCTTTTCGTATAGACAGCAAACTGCTAATGACTGCAGCATCTCTGAGCTGTTAACTTACCATATGATGGTAGAGAATTTATAGTCTTTTCCCAGAGACTAAGAAAAGAATGAGACACAGAGAGTCAGAGATGACAGAGAGGTGAGATAGGAGGAGGTTTGAGAAAAGAAACACAAAGGATGAATTAAATATATCACACTGGGGAAATAATGTCGCACCTCCCTATGGCTGGTAAGAGTACTGAATAAATACCAGTAGATCTTCTAGCAGTGCCCAACGCATAGTTAGCATTCAACAAACTTAATTGTTGTTAAATTATTATCTGTAGAGGAATTGATGTAGCTTCATTCACCCCCTCTGTTTCACTCCACAAACTATAAGCAACAAATACCAAAAAAAAGTTAACATAGGTAAAATAAAAATGATTTTAATGAATATTGAGAAAATCCAGTTACAGCATAGCTATATGTGAGCCCCACGCTGAATGGGTTTTTATTAAGTATTAGATACAGCATATGTCCCATAAATATGTGTTGCACTGAATTCAAGTAAACATCAGTCAAAAACATTTCAGCACTGGAGGCTTCATAGCTATTTTAATCTTTCTATTTTCAGCTCAAGGAGGACCTCTTTTCTATAATAATGAAACTGGTCTTCTGAATCACCCTCTGAAAACATTATCTGCAGGGAGATAGTCAGGTTCCTTATAAGTGGCTATTGTTGAAACAAACTGTCTCCTTTAAGCCATTATCACAGTGGTAAGGCTTCTGAGAAGCCATTCGTGACAGCCATCACAAAGCCTTCAGAGCAAGACAAGGGTGCAAAATCAATGACCGTGTCTGGGGAGGAGCCACACGACTTACTATGCTGACAGTGGCAGTCTCCTTCTTTTTATGAAGTCAGTGTATGACTTTTGCCTTCCCATCTTGGTTGCCTAAGATACAGGCCTGCCCTACTAGCCCTTTCATCCCAAACTGTTTTATAAATATTTTTGTGTAAAGAATCAAAAATTTCTAAGGTTGAGTAAGACATTCATTCCTTGGTCTTCCTAGAGGAGGGAAGGGGGTTAACGGAAGCATTTGAGTTTTTCTTCTTCCATCTTGATTCTTTAACTGGCCATCTTGGTGAAAAGCAAAGGCAATGGAGATGCTTTTTTTCTTAGTAGTTTTTTTTTTCAGTGCTGGGGATTGAACCCAGGGTGTCACAAACACTAGGCAAGCACGCTACCACTGAGCTACATCCTCAGTCCAATAGTTTAAAATTCTTGAATTTCTTAACAGTAGAAAGGGAAGCAGAGTCAATGTGGGTGCCCTAGGACATGTCTCAGCAGAAACCAAGCATGGCAAAGACAAGTCCTTGTATTCATACGTCAAGAGAGAACTTCAGAGTGACTAACAAGCAAGGGATGCATTCCAACATGCTACTGTGGTCCAAACATGCTAACTCCATGTCAAGTGTCCCATTCCTGCTGTCTGAGGGCACCACACAACTATGGTGAAAATAAAATGGCAAAAAATTGCAGGAGTCAATCTCTACACAAAGCTCACAGTAAACAGTGGCCTTAAAATTTAACCTGATGATGATGATGTAAATAATAAAATCTTTTACACCATTCAAAGAAACCTTAACACCGGCTCTAGTCTTTTTTCCTTGATAATTGTGTCAGCAAAGGGCTATCTTCACATTTACTTAGATATCTGACAACTATTGAGATGAATGGATGAAGCCTTTAAATCTGGCAAGTCATTACTTTCATAGATTAAACACTTCGTATTTAAATAGGCAGATAATTTGTGGAAAATGTAGCTAAAGAAGGTCCTTAATGATCAATATTCCATTGTTTTTATTAAGTGAGATGACAAAAGTTTATTTCCTCTCATGATTATTTAAAATGTTATAATAAAATTTCTCCCACTTGGTGCTAATAGAAGAATAAAAGCAGCAACCGTCATCAGAACTAGAGCAGATGTTTCAAGTAGTATTGTATGCAATGCAGATATTAAAGTCAGGCTGTCTTTGTGGAGAAGTAGTAAACTAATAACTTCCCATCCAACAACTGACTTGGCTTTTCCCCCTCTGATTTGAGCAGTTCTTTAACCAAAGGGCATTAATCCACCAAGTATTTCAGGCTCGTACATATCAGGAAATGTGGTATGTGCCCATATGTAACCCTTCCCTTAAACCATCAGCAAATATAGGCCTATATGATCCTCCTAAGGTTATTAGAGGATGCATTAATAAAAATAGGCATGTACATCCAAAAAAATTCTAGAAAGCCATCTCCATAAGCACAAATAAGACAAAGTAGCTCTTAGAAGACGAAAGCAACTACAACCTTTTTCTCTGGTTAGAAAAAGTTGACCACCCATCACACCTCCCACCACTGCAGTGAGTTCCCACTAAGGGAGGAGGCCATTTAAAGTACTGCCTGAATCCTTCATTTGACTGGCATGGGTGCAATTCTTAGAGACATAGGGAGTCATTAAAACATAGAAAAAAGAAATAAAACAAGTTCTAAATCTTTCACAAGGAATTAATTGACAGGAGACATTAAACTGTGCTAATATTTTTCCTTACTTGCAAAGAGAAGACCGTGAAGTAGTATAAATGCAGAAAGAAGTCCCCAAATTCTGAAATCAAAAATAATTTCTCCTAGTGCTTTAGAAATATATTGCCTTTACTAAGATAATATTATCATCAGTTGTTCAGGTATTCTTCACTTTGCTGCACAGTTGAACAAATGAACAAATAAAACTCAGCAATGGAGTCATGCAATGAAGAATGTAATCCATGCAGGAAAATACACAAGAAGAATCCTTTGTTTTACAGCTAGAAATAAAATTTATGTTCTCTCTAATTTGCTGTAGTTTGAGTCTGAATTGTACAATCAGCATTAAATCAAATGTAAAGTCCTTTGTCAAAGGCAGAAACAATTTTCAAAATATTTCTAAATTTAAACAATTGTAGATGGTTTTTATTAGTTTGTACTCAATTGAGAACATGAGCACGTATGAGATGCTTGAATGAATTTCTAGTAGTGTGTTCAGAATGCTTAAGGCTATGTCTGCAGTAGGGCCTCCTGTATAGACAGGAAATTAACTATTAAAATGTTACTTTGAAATAACATTAAAGAACTGAGACAATGTAATAAAAAACCATTAAATTGACTCCTAAAGAAATTCAGCAAACCTATACCTCCTGTTCTAATTGAATCATTGCAAACTTAAAAGGAGGAACAACCTGCTTTATGTTACTGGCTCAAATTTGTTTTCCTTTGATACCCATTTATTTTGTTATTTCCTTTATATTTTTAAAATAGGTTTTCATATATTTAACTTGCCTTCTTTCCTTTACAAAACAGAAAATAAGCTTAAAAACAAAACAACAGTTCATTATTTAGTAATCTCTCTGAAAACGAGAGACACCCAAGTGTTTATGTCATTTGTATATGTTTGGTATCACTGGAATATGTGTAATCTTCCTACTATGACAAATTACCTCCACGTAGGAGCTCTGGCCTTTTGATCAGATACACTAGAGTGCATTTCAAAAAGGATATTAATTTAATCATTAGAGATTAATAGCATTCGAGGAACTGCTTCACTTTAGGCATTCAAACTAGCAAGACATGTAATAACCCTTTCTGAAATGAAAGTTTCAGCTGAAATATTAGAAAGATACATATAATTGAAACCATTTCTTTAAAAATCCTTAGCATGGTGCATTCATGATACATAAGCTTGTCAATGTATTCTGAACACACGTCTCACCCATAAGTCCATGAAGCAAAATTCAAATGACAGGAAAAACTGTATTTTTCTATTGTTTTTCACTATGTGCTCCTCATATTGGACCACTGAAGAAGTGTTGGATTCAAAATCTTATAACCAAGATTCTGAAAACTAGGGTTTGGGGTGAGAGACAGACTCTTATCCAAAACAAGGCAAAAGCATTCTTCTGGGACAGCCACACAATAGACTTTTTTTTTTTAAAGAACTAGGGACTTCATATAAACCAAAACCAAAACCAGCATTGCTTCAGGTTACAGTATATAAATGAATCTTGATGGTTTGGGGATGGTCATATCTAGCTATAAGACCAGATTTTAAATTCTAGGTTATTGACAGAGTATAAAATGTTAACAGTGGGATAAACTGTAAAATATGTATTATCTACACATGAGAAGGTTACAGTTTATAAATGCTAAAATATTGTATCTATTGGCATTTAGTGAAATCATTCCCTGATCCTGATTTCTGCACTAGGTGGGGGTAGGGGATTCAAAAACAAAAACAAAAAACAGAAAACAGAAAACCTATTCTGCAGGCTTTTTATTTCTGCCCAAAGGATCTCAAATAGTGAAACTAAAATCCTCCCTCATTTTCCTAGGGGTAAATCTTTACCTATTTGCATACCTGGCAACTGAAATTAGGGAACTTTTCTGCCGACCCACGATGCCCTTATTGGGTTGTTACCTGCCTCTTTCAGCTTTGTAGGTGATTTCCACACAGTGATACAACAAACCGTCTCTTTTTTTCCTGGAAAGAAAAAGGAAAGAAAGGAAGGAAGGGAAGGGTCCCTCCTCCAGTCTGCAGTGATCCCTCCAGGCCCTCTGACTCTAGCACAGCCAAGTACCCTGGCATGACTCTTACTTAGGTTTGGTTGTCTTGTTTTCTGCAAAGGCAAGTGAAGGTGACTTCTGAGTGTTCAGTGCGTTAAAGAAAAAAGAAAGAAAAAAGATTTTTAAAAAGATAAAAAGAGAAAAAAAAGTGCTCAAAAATAATTCTCAGGAACTTATCTTGAGAGGAGAATTCCAGGTAGAGCATCCCCCTCTCTGGTGTATCCTGCCCCTGTTCCCAGCCCAAGGACTCCGTGGCCCATGCTCAGGAGCAGGGAAGGTCCTAAATCACTTTCTTTAGGGGAAGCAAACTTCCCTTAGTGGTTTCCAGGAAAAGCTGTATTCCTGGAGATGCCACCCATCCACCTTGGCCTAGGGACCTCACAACTTTTTGGTACTGTCATGCAACGCTGCTGCCCGGAGGGTGGTCCCAGCCAAGCCCCGGTTACTGACCCTGCGGACCAGCACCTTGGAGACTGGGATTTTTGTTCTGCGCAACTCACTCTTGGCTGGTTGCTGATGCACAATGGGGTGGCTGGCTGGGAGGTTGGAGAGATGCTTGATGCTAATGGGGATCTTCGAGTCCTTCAGTAAACTTCCTGGTGTTCGCAGTGGGCAGGTGATGGTGCCTGGAGATACTGGCTTCAGTCGGGACGAGCAGGCCGTCTCCTCGCTGGCAGGAGGGACGGCAGGGCTAGCGTCGGGGTCCGCGTAGAGGTCGTAGAGCGCGTCGCCGCTGTCGCTGTCCCGGGGGATGCCCGCCTTCTTCCCGCTGTCGTCCTCTGGGCCAGGCGTGGAGTCCCAGTAGCCCTCATCACTGTTGGGGACGCCTTCTTGCGGCTCCTTCTCCGAGTGCTTGTGCTCCTCCTTCGGTTGCAGCTCGGTGGGGACCCAGTTGAGCCTCCGGCGCTTGACTGAGGACGCGTCCTTGGCCGCCTCCGCGCACCGGGCATCTTTGGAGGTCTCTGGCACCACCTTGGCTTCCGGGGCCATGGCCGCCTTTGCTGCCGCCTCTGGGGGTCCTTGCCCGTGGTCCTCGGTCTGGGACAACATGTCCCAGAATTCCTGGAGATAGGTGTCGTCCACCCCGTCCGGGCTGGCCATCTCCTCCCCTCCTCCTTGGTAAGCCACCACGCCTCCGGGGGTCTTTTTAGACAGGACTGGCTTGCCTGGCCCGGGGGCCTGCTTGTCACAGCTGGGACCTGCCTCTTCCTCGGGGTCTGCAATAATATCTCCGCAGCCTGTAAGAGAGTCAAAGCTTTTCAGTGAAGTCACGTCAGAAAACATCAAACAAATACGATCGGCCGATGGGTCTGAGGGTGGATCGACAGAGGAAGGGTCGGGGACGGCGGACGCCCGGCCGCTGCCTCCCTCGGAGTCGACCAGGGGGACGGTCTTTCGCGCCACGTCACCTGTCCTGGAAGCGTCCTCGGCCACCACCGCGTGCGCCTCGCCAGCTCCCGGCTCCCAGTGCCCCGCCGCGTCCTCTGACCGCGGGCTGCTGTCGTGGGCGTCCCCGGGGCTCGGGGCCTCGCCCTCCGGGGCACGATCGGCGGCAGCGGGCGCCTGCCGTCCCCCTCCGAGCTCACCTGCTGGGTGTCGCGGGGCGTCCTGGGCGCGGGGCGGCTCCTCCTTGACGCACTCCAGGCTGGCGGCGAGCGAGCCGGGCAGGACCAGGATCCCCGGAGCGGCCGCGCGCGCCGGCCTCGGCCCCTCGCCCCCGCCGGCGCCGCCGCGCTTGTCCTTCTTGTGCCAGCGCAGGCTGCTGAAGATGCCTTTCAGCCCCCTCTTTTGTTTGCCGCCAGCCTTGCTCGCGTCCGCTGGGTCCCCCTTGCCGGGGTCCGGCCTCCCGTTCTTTTTCAGCAGGGAGAAGAAGCTGTGGGACTTGGCCACGGAGCCGGGGGCCAGCGAGCCCAGGCCGGGCGCGGCGGCTCTGGGGGGCCCGGGGTTCGGCCGAGCCCCGCCGCCCTCTCCCGCCCCGCGCGGCTCCTCCTTCCTGCCGCCCTCCAGCACCACCACCTCGGCCAGCCCGTCGTGGGTCCTGCTCCTCGCCATCCCCGTCGTCGGAGCCGAGCTTTTCCCATCCCCTTTGTTTTTGACCCCAAAAATGCTGGGCATGGTGCCACCCGATTTCCTCTTCTTGAATAATTTGAAAGCAGCTTTATTAATCTTCCCCGACGGCGGCGGCTCGGCGGCCGGCGTTTCCGCGGCACCATCACAATGCAAGTCCATGTCTGCCGCGAGGGTCCCAGCACCGGCCTCCTCCTTCCTCCTGCAGACCCCCGCGGGCGCGCGATCGCAGCAGCGCGCGCTGACAGCCCCGCCGCCGCTGCCGCCGCTGCTCCTGCCCGTCTCCATGGAGACCGAGCGGATCGGCGCTGTCGTCAGCCGCGGGCTCGCGCCAGGCCACTGTCATCCGCGCTCTAAATCAACCTGAGCCGCTCTCGCCGCTGCGCTCTGCTGCTGCAAAAGAACGCACATCAAAGACCATCTCCCCTCCCTCGAAGGGCTTATATAATACCCTAACCCACTTCCATTCCTCCGGACTCCGCGCTGCACAGGGCTTTTGGTTTTCTAATTTTCATCCCCCCCACCCCTTGTAGCAAAAGACTGCAGCGCAGCCTCCTGCCAGTGGCAGAAATTCAAGTCGCAATCATGGAATTCGAAGTCCCTCATTTCACTCACCTTCAGGTTCCTCCTCTCCACTCGCTTTCTGGACGCCCAATCGTGGATCACCAAATGCCCACAGAGAGGACAACAATGCTCATTCCTTCTATCACCTATCCTGGACTTCCTGCATCTTCCTGTCTGCAAGTCCTTTTTGTCCGTCCTCCACACGTGGGTGCTAAGCCCAGAAGGCACTTAGCATATCTGTTTTCATCAGTGTCCGGTCCAGGGCTGACCTTCAGTTTGATGCTGCATTCTTGTTATTGTCGATCTGATTCTTCTCATAAAAGCATCAGCCATCAGCCGATCAGCAATACCAATTAGCAACTTCTAGCTATGCAAGTGCCACAGCCCTGTGAGCTGGAAGCTGACTAGTCCTTTGGGGCAACCCCGGCATTTACCCCAGACTCCAGCAACCAGGGGCTGAAGTCCCCGAAGTGCCTGCCCAGGCCATCTTGGTCCTAGTAGATGAGCTGATGGGGAACATAGCTTGGGAATCTCAGGTCCACTCCACAGGTGGGCCTTGGTGTCCCAGGGTCAGCCTTTTCCTTTTTCACTGGGGTACTGGTTTTGTGCAGTCCCTGCTGCTGCCCGGACCTTGGACTCCCCCAAGGCTGACAGCTTCCTTCTCCCACTGGGCAGCAAAAGCCTGGCAGGGGTCCTTGAGTGCCTGGGTGACTGTAGCTACTCTGATCCACCTGGTGTGAAGAAAAGGAAAATCTCTTTCTCGGGAACAGCCCGATCTGCAGGATCTTTTCTGTGCTGATTTGAAGATGGCTGGTGTTATCTATCATACCTCGACGTCTGTTTTCGTGTTCCTGCTGAGGGCTTATTGGTAAAAATAGAAGAAACTTGGAGAAGCATGAACATACTTACACAATATAGGATTTATATGTTGTATATTCTTTAACATTATTTCTTAAGGACTAATTAGACAAAATATTTGTATATACCCAAATAGTCTTTTTCCTACTCATCGTGAATTTCTTGTTTTTTATTCCTGGTACTGGGGGTGGAACCCAGGCCTCGCACATGCTAGGCAAGTGCCCTACTACTCAGCTACACTCCCAGCCTTGAGCTTCATTTTTATTATGTGTGGTTTTCATTATGCTAAGAAATCCCAATCTTCATGCGTTTAAGTGGGAGTTTTGCTGGTAACAGTCATTGGCCATTGTGATTTCTATAGTCATGATATATATCTATATAGATATATAGATATATATGGGGAGAGAGAGAGAGAGAGAGAGTGTGTGTCTGGTTAATAAAACAATGAGTCAGGGAGTTTAGGATTAGGTCAGGTTTTTATTCCCAGAATTCTAATCCCATCAGTTCTTTCCTAATGTTAACATACATCTCTTCCCTGAACAGGACACAAAGCTGAGACAAAGAGGCGTTTCCCAATTTTAACCGATCTCTTGATGAATCAGAGTCCTAGTTGCTCCACAGAGAGACCAGGGATGAGGAACTATAAAGAGAAATTCATTTATTTCTTCACAATTTTCGGAGAACAATTAGCAGACCCCCCCACACACACACATACACACAACATGCACACCAGTTGTTTCAAACTGTGGGTTGCTACGTAAGTGTGTCAGTTTATGCTGGGATCAGGGGAGAACAAATTAGTCTATAAAAACCTCTACTTCTCCATCCCTGAGCCTGAGAATTGGAGGAAGGTGGCCTGCTTACCCAGTGGGGAATTCTCACCTACCAGGACAGGCCAAACACCACTCTAATTTACATAAGAATCCTTGAGCCCCCTGGGAGAAAGTTGGCAGAGGCTGTTGGGATGGATGTCACCCCTTTGGGACAACCACACTGAGGCAAAGAGAAAGAGACAAAGTGGCCCTCAGTCTAGGGAAGGTGCCTTGTGGGGAATCCTTTTTCCTGAGGCAGAAGGAAGCCAGCAATGGGCCCAGAACCCTGTCTCCTCCACCTAAGGTGCTCGTTCTGGGACTGCCAGAAAGAAGGGAGTGAGGTCAGCTAATAAGGAACTTACCAGAAGAACCAGACAGTAAGAAGAGAGGGTGAGGAGCAGCATGGTTTGATGGTTAGCATCACAGTCAGACTGTTGGGGAGAAGACTAAAGTCAAAGGCTTTGCTATGAACCACCAACGAGATTCATCCAGACCTGAGATTGCTGTTCACAGTCAAGGCCAAAGGAGGCAGAGATCACACTGGAACAAAATGGAAATTTCTCTTTTCTGAAAGACAGACAAGATAGTGAAGATAATTTTGCCAGAGGCACTCCAGTTTTTATAAAATCTTCTATTCTTTCTCCCACACAGCTTCAATTTAGAGTGAAGGAAAATGAGAGTAGGAAGGATAGAGAATGCAGCTGGGGAAAATATTTGGGGCCAAAGTTGTTCTGAAACAGTACAGTACTTCACAAATGTAAACAGCAACTACATTTGGCTGGAAGACACATATGAGCTTTTCTCTTTGGGGGGGGGCAGAAGAAAATGTTTGTTGCTGAGTGGAGGCTTTTGTCTTTGGGCAACCAGCCTCTCTGGAGGATGACAGTAAAACAAGAAAAAAGGTAAGGGAAACCCAAAGAGGGATGTTTGAGAGCTAAGCAATGTGTCATTTCCTGTTTAGGGTGTCTTCTCACCGCTGAGCACTTGTCTCTGTCCTAAGCTTGCATAGTGAATTTTCTCTCTTAGGTGAAAGGGCCTAGGTGAAGGGCAGCCCTTAGTGGTGGTGTCTGCTTACTGTGTGGGTCTTTCCAAATCACAGCATTCCCCACTAAAAAGATCCCTGGCCTCACTCTAAATTTACCTTGAGTCTTGAAGGGATACTGTTTAATCAGAGGCTGGGAAATGATACCTGAGTTGAGACCAGTGCCGCCCATCTGAAGACCATGCTGCCAATCTGAACCCCGGCCCAGTCTGAAGTGTCCAGCTCCCTGCTCCTGTCCATTCCTTCCTGTGATTTTCCTCCACAGTGAGCTCCAGAGCAGTGATGCCAGCGAGGCCCTGCAAATGTCAAGCCCATCAGCAGAGCCTCAGAGTCACCAGCCTTCATCACCCCCCTGCTGTGGACTCTGTCCAGTGTTCAAAGCCTGTCCTTGCTCTCACACAAGCTGAAACCACAGTGTGAAGTGTGCAGTGCCAGGAGGGAGATGTTTGGGTGTTCCTCGCAGGGAGCCCAGTCCAGGATGCGATGCACCTGGTGCTTTTCCGTACCCTCCTTGCCCAGAAAACGAGGCTGCTGGCCAGGGCAGGCAGGATGGGGACTGGAGACATCTGAGCACAGGGAGTCCTAAGCTGGACTAAAGTTCTTATATTTTCTTTAAGCATATTTTGATTCCTGGTTTTTCCCAAATATCAGCTTTCATTGTGGGTTTATAGCTTCTCTGTGTCCAGGTTTATTCAGGAAAGAAATTCATTTCTAATTTATAATATGTAGTGTAAAACCCCAGCACAATTCATAATTTTCCACATTAACCTCAGGGCACACTTGAGGCTGTGGAGCAGAAAGAGCTCATCTCAGGAGGAGGCAGAATCCCACACTGGCTCTAGAGCCATCAAAAGCTTGGGAGTGAGCAGTTCTGGTTCATCACCTGTCTCCTAGGTCCAGCCCCCATGGGTTTGCACTTGGATTCTAGGTAGGCAAGAGCAGATGACAGCAAAGTGAGTGCTTCTGCATAACACTGGTGGGTCCAAGGGGTTACAGGCCAGGCAGCAGCTGATAGCCTTTGGAGAACAGTGGTGTGTCCAGTACTGCAGCTGCCCTAACAACTATCACAAACTAGGTCACTTAAAACAATAGAAATTTAGCCTCATAGCTCTGTTGGCCAGCAGTTCCAGATCAAGGTGGCAGCATTGCCTTTTACTTCTGCAGGTAAGAGGGAGAATCAGTCCCGTGACTGGCTGCTAGCTTCTGGTTGCTGCCAACAATCCTTGGTATCCCTTGGCTACAAGATACATCATTCCTGAGATGATCCTGCCTCCATCATCATAGGATGATCCCTTTCATATCTGTCTGTGACACTACTCCTCTTCTCACAAGGAAACCAGCAATACTGGATGAAGAGCCTGTCTTACACTGGTATAATCTTACCTTAACTTATGTCTTAGTTACAATTGCAAAGACCGTATTTTAAAATAAGGTCCTATTCATAGATGCCAGCCTTGGACTCAGGCTTTGGTGGCTTCAATGGTGCCAGCAGGTGTGGGCCCTTGGCAGATCTCAGGATCACGATGGCCCTGCTGGGGCTGCCAGCAATGTGGGACAGTACCATTGTCATCCAGAGTAAACAAGAGAGAAAACAGTATCAGCCAAGAAGAGCAGATGCTGCCCTACAGTGCGACACTCCGATGTCCTTCCCCCAGGATTGTCTGGGAGAAATGTAAGAGGGACAGCAGAGTTCTCACATTATGGAGAAGGCGAAACAAGAGAAACTCTGTATGTGGCTCGGACTGATCTCCTCCCACTGCACCTAAGCCGGAGTAGCCTGAGAAACACCTTGGCTCACAGCATCACACCATTCTCTTTTCCCAGCCACTCCCTTTGCTCCTGCTCTGCTATCTTGCTAGAGTCACTCTTAGAAGATACTCTGTCTCAAACTGGAGAGCAGGATGGGATCTCTTCGGCTGTCACCACTAAGGCAGATACAGTGAAGCCAGAACAGGCAGAATGAGGTCAGAGAGCAGCGAGTGTGCAGAAAGGATGCCAGGCCTGGTGCGGATAAAAGCAGCACCACAGGGCAGCTGGACTAGGAGTGGGGGTCTTCATCTAGTTGAAGAGGGCCACAGTTGAGAATGAGGACACAAGGCCAAGGAATGGGGGTTAGAAGGGGCCACAGAATCCATCTGCATCACAATGGAACATCCATCAAGAGCCCTGGCAACTGCCCCTCAGGTACCTTTCTCAGAGAAACTCTACTCTGCCTTCACTTCTGGATGCAGTCATCGTCACACACTGGCCTTGGTCCAGCCCTCTCAGCAGACAGGCAGTGCGCACAAATCACCTGGGCCCGCTGAAGTGGCCCTTTCTGCCTATGTTCCTTGTCCCCCATTCCCAGACACTGAGCAAGCATCACAATCCTGAGACCCTTGTGGAATCACTCACCCCTTTTCCTAGCCATTTCCACTTCTGTTTAAGAGACAGGAGAAAGTTCTCATTTTCTCATGCCACTCTGGGAAGGCCCCTGACCTTTATCGTAAGATCCTCTCCTGTCCCTGCCATGATAGCCCTGGGGACATCCACAAGAGTTCCAGACAGTAGCAGCAACTCTCTACTCTCGAGTTTCCAAGGTCATGGTGAGCAGGGGGTCTCCTCCCCAGACCTTCGCAGATAACCTTGGTGGAGTGCACAGAGTGCAACAAGCAGAGCCCCTTCCTAAAGACCAGATTCTCACACTCTCTGGGAAGTAGGTTCACTGTGCACAGGAATCAGTTCAGAAAGGACTCTAATTACCTCTCTAGTGCCATACGCCAGTATCAGTCCATGTGCATGTGCGTGGTAAGACAGAAAACTTACGCAACAAATTGTATGAGGCAACTTCATTCCTCACAGATAGGCAGCAAAGAACAATAGAAGCCTAGAATTTAGGACAAAGCCAGTCCCCTAAGGCTCAGCAAAACTTCGTAGGACAGGTGGAGTCTCACCGTGTGTGTGTCTTATATACAGCACTGAAGCAGACAGACCCTGAAAGCCCTCTCCACCCGGTGTTCTATATCCAGTGGCGATGGACTTGTTGGACTAAAGTGTTGCTGGACATCCTGTTTTAGAAGGAGCAAGAATGGAGCCTAGGCCGTTCTGACCAGTTTACACTTATTTTAAGATGTGCGTTTCCAGGACCCTCTATGGTTACTCTGAGAACAACTAGTGAAAAGGAGGGGGAAAGTTGGTCTTCAAGGCCCTCTGGGGACTTGTTCTGCACTTTCTTTTTCTTTCTTTTCTTCAATTCCTAAAGTCTTGGGGTCTTAATTCATCTGGATAGGAGATAAAACTGCATCCAGACCAATGATACATTCTCTAAAACTTATTGCTTAAGTCAAGTTCTTGGCTCTGGAAATTCAAATGACTGTGAATTTTGCAAACAAGCAAACAAAACTTTTTCCCCCAAAGACATTGCCACAGGCTTCAAAAGTATATTTTGAATTCTAAAAGCTGAGCCTTATCATTTTTTTCTGTATTGCTGCCTACTTATTCCCTTATCCTCTAGCCCCCTACATGTTCCTGACAGCCTATACACGACATACAAATGCACTTGCTCTTCTAGTCTATTCTCCAACAATTCTGAACACATTCCCCAAATGTGTCTCTGTCTTCCTGCTTGTATATATACTGCAGTTATTCCTGGGATACTATTGTCCCACCTGTGCAACTAATGAACTGCTAAGCATGCCCTGTGTAAAGGCTGGGACACCGGATCCTCTGTGCCTCTCAGATTTTCATGTTATGTCACATGAAATCCTCAGACCATTTTCTACACAGTGTCAATCATCATCGTGCCCCAGAATGCACTTCCCATTAATTGGCTCTGACTTTTAGGGAACAGAGATTGTGAAGAGAGTGAAATGTGTGATTCTCCCTCTCTGTGATGTGCGAAGTGGCAGAGTGGCTGCTGAGTATCTCCATCGTCTCCAACAGAGACTGATGACTTAGCTTCTGGGGCTGCATCTCCCCAGATCTTTTGAGTCAAGGTGGGTGATCTTCGTTGGTAGTTAGCGTATAACTTGGGATTGAGCTAGCCAGACCCTAAGATATGATGTGTTGACTAAAAGAAGTCTATTTCTTACTCCCTGTTTCAGGCCATTGGACAGCAATGACAGTACTGTTGGCTGGGTGGCAAGGGAAGGTTCAGTTGGGAAAGGGAACAAAGGAGGGGAGAGGGGGAAGCGAAGGGAGGGAATAGAGATAAAGAATAAAAAAGAATGGAAGAAAAACAATATAAACAAAGTTTTGTAAAGGGAGAAGGGAACAAGGATTAAAGGAAAGGGAGGGAAATGGGTAGAAAATAATTAAGATATGTGATATACACGTGCAAACTCCCTATGATGAATGTGATCATTATGTATGTCAAAAGTGTACCAATAGAATTAATTTTTCAAAAGGTCCAAGATCAAGGTACTTATGAATTTGTGTTCTGGTGAGGGTTTGGCCTTATGGTTCATAGATGGCATTTTCTAAATGTCTTTACATGGTACATGCTCCCTTGGGCCTACCTTATAAGAGCACTAGTCCCACCCAGGAAGGCTGCACCCTCATAACCTAATCACCTTCTCACCTGCCTCTTAATACCATTACCTCAGAGGTTAGGATTTTGACATATGGACTTCTGGAGGGCACATTCAGACCACAGGTCTCACCTACCAGTCCTAGGTACATAGTGAAGTCAGAGGGATGGGTTCCATGCAGTCATGAAGTCATTCAGGGTCCCAGGTTTTACCCCTTTGTGTCTCCCTTGGGATCTTGTTGCCATCTATGTCTAGCCAGTGGAAGGAGAAAGAAATGCTGAAAGAAGCAGACCCATTTCTTAAAAGCTTTGACTCAGACATGGTATAAACCAGTGTGCCTCACATGGTCACATCTGTGAGAGAGAGTGGGAAATATGTTCTAACCATGTGCCTGGTCACATTCCTAGTTCTACAGAAGGAGAGAACAGCTTACAGCAGGCAACTAGCAGAATCTGCCATGTTCCTGCACGCAGCTGTGCTGGGGAGGGGCACCTCCCATCTCCTCAGTGGGCTTCCTTCTTCCCAAGACAATATATTCACTCTCAGGACCCGCATGCTCCAAAGTCTACCTCTCACCCAAATCTAGGGAAAGCCTGAAACACCCGCTCTTAGCTCCAGAATAAGCCCTCTAAACTTCTTCACCTGCTCTTAGTTACTTGTTTTTCTTGACTTAACCAGCTTCATCTGTTTGTAGTCACTTGCTAACCCCTCTGATGAGCACGTAATGATGGCAACAGTTGCTCAAGCTTGGTCATGCCTCAGTCCATAGATATTCATACATCCTATCTTTGGGAAGGCTGACTCGAGGCCTATTCTCTGGGTGAATAAGCTTTCTTTTCTGCAATACTCATCCTTTCAATGATGGGCATACTGCACAATGGGTAAACAGGCCTTTTGGATACACCGCTGTCAGCTCTCCTCTACCCTTTGGCTTTCTCCTTAGAGGAGAATATTTTGGGTTAAAGCAAATGCTTTTAGTAACTGATAGAATAGACTAAATGCCTGACAATGAGTATTTCCAGCTCCAGAGTATCTCAGGAGGGCTTCCATTTATCCATTCTTCAGTTTAGTGAGCATTTCTGAGTGTCTGCTGTGTCCTGAATGGTGCCATGAATGCACCATGATGACTGCCCTTGGCAGTGACCAGGAGACACGTCCATGGGAAGCCCTTTCAGCTCCTTAAGAAAATGCCTTTGTTCTTTCCCAGGTGCTAGACCAGTTGGATGTTATTTTTTCTCCTTTAGGAAAAATAAATCTGTTTTCCTCCATGATGGGTTAATCCCCAAATAGCCAGTTTACTTCTGTCCCAGATCCTAACCACCTACAGGGTTTTCTTCATGGGCTTTAGGTTAAGACCCTGATCTGGCTTCGTGCAGCTTTCATTTATGATTCATTTGCCATCCACCCCAGCAAGGTTACATTTTTCAAAAAACAGAAATTTTAGCAGATATATTTCTTCTGGGATGTTTCCTAGACTTGCTCCAGTGAGCTCATTCGCTCAAGATAACTATGGGGCTCTCTCTCTCTCTCTCTCTCTCTCTTTCAGTTTGTAGAAGGAGCAAGATCATGTGATCTACTCCTAGCAGCTCTCATTCCTGTATGTTTGGGAAACAGTGGCTCAAATTACCCCCAAGAAAGAGGGCTGTGCTTTCTAAACATGCTTATTTCTTACAAGTGTTTGCTTTCACTTAGCAGAAGACTGAAGCTTGAGCAGGAAGTTTCTAGGTCAGCAGTACTTTGCTCTAATAAAAGACAGTCTAGCCAAAAAGAACAGCAAAGCTATGGCCTGAGCTCTTTGGAGTGTCTTGTCTGATTACCCAATTATTACCACTCAGATTAGGAAGGGATTAACCCCTGAGGTCAGACAGATGGGAAACACTATTAAAACACCCCATGTGGGGCTTCAGAGTGAGTAGCAGTGACCACCTGTCCCCATTTCTTGGGTCAGTCTGTCCTCATTTAGAGGCCTGAGATCAGTGTCTTTGATGCAAGTCTGGAGAAACTGAATAGCGCAGGAAGCAGGCAGGGCCCGCCCCATTTGGCCTCAAAGTCCTGCCCTCTTGGTTCTTTGTTCTTATCTTGTGCCCTGTCCTAGATTGGCATGGTAATGAAACTTTGGGCTGAATTACAAGTGACTTTGGGTTTCTCTCCCAAGGCCCTTGGGAATGGGTATGGGGATACTTTATGAGACCGTATAGACAGGAAGGTTTCATTTCCCAACCTCATTTTCTTAGTACACTTTTGAAGAACTGTCGAGGGCCTCCCTTCTTGAGCCTCTACCACATCAGAGCTACTTCTTTGTGTTCACAGAAGCTAAAGAGGAGGGGGGGCCGGCCCTCTGTGTTTCTGTGCATTTTTTCCCCTGCATGTTCAGAGGTTGGGACTGGCTGTGTCACAGTGCTCAGCAGGGAGCCTGAGTAGTGTGGTCCTCGAATTCCAGCCTTGAATTGTGAAAATATACTGTAGCAGTCCATTAAATTATTGATAAGCCACGTGGTTCAGCTTCTTCAAGTCCTTTATCTTCAAGATGTGGTAATGCTGACTTCATAAGGATTTTTAGGAGCATTAATGATGGATGAG